CCCCCCCCCCCGGGTGATGACGCCGCAGATGTTGATCCTTCCGATGCGCATGGTGGCGGGTCTGCGAAGTGGTTGATCCCCGAACTCCGGGCTTCGATCGGAGGGTGCCCATCGAGCTCGCCCTCAGTGCAATAGCAGCAGCAGCAGCTGTCAGCGGCATGACGTGCCTGCATCTGATCATGATTGTTTTCTTCTATCCAACCCCCAGGGATAGGTGGTCGTGATTTTCCCCACACACTGAAAGGTTGGGTTGGTACCACTTGGATTTTCCATCGTGGAGGCTCTGGAGTGTGTTGGCCCACCTGTCGAGGCGCAGGCCATGAAGTTGAACGAGGCCTAAGACACACGTATGTCTTGAGGATCCGGGACGATCTTCAAGATCAACACCGATTCGCCAGAGACGGTCAAGGTTTTTCGTGTGGCTCATGTGCTCTCTCCGAGAACGGGACTGAAGACCGCCGCCGGCCCCACAGGGATTGAACAGAGCGTAAGTGTAGCGGGGAAAATTGGTGCTGGACAGGAAACTGTTTTTTGGGGTTGATTGCGGTGTTGCTGTGGAAAAGAATTCCGGTGGCAACCTTATGCCTCCCCCTCGTCGCGGGATTGCTATCTAGAGGTCAATTTTTATCAAAGTGAATCCGCCCCCCGTTGCTGCTTGCTTGAGGAGAGGACCTGGTGTGCATAGAACAGGGTTGTTTGTGTTGATTATGGCGGTTGAAGCCGGGTTAGTCTCTTACGAACGAGGGCATTCTATCGGGTGGGATTGGTTCGAGTATGTTTCGCACGGGCTGGAGAGGGCCGGGTTTGGTCTTGCCAGGTGTGGTTCCTTACGGAACAGAAGCAGAGGTTGTCTTGTATTATACATATATATGGGGTCGAACTCGGTATTACCGATACGAAACGGTAATTGATACCGTGAGGATTGTACATATAAACGATCGGTGTCAACGAAGGTAGTTGTTGGGATTTGTGCTCGGCTGCGGTCAAATTCTCGCGCGTCGGGTACACTGCAGTAGATCCATCGCGAGGACCGGTCGGTCTGGTTTGCCGCGTGTGTGTGTACAGTTGGCGCCCGCAGTTAAGAAATACTTTGGCTCACTTTTTCACGAAAAATATGAAAACAGGGCTAAGAAACATGGCTCAACCTGGGTCACACAAAAAGAAATGTCTCAATAAGAAACATAGCGGCGACCGCTGCGCTACTACATAAGAAACGAGGGTTTACGGGGGAGTGTGTCGAATACGAAACAAACCGCACAGCTCTCTCGCTCTTTCCCCTCTCCCCCGACCCCCCCCTCCCATAGTGAAGCGTGGGGTTCTCGTGAAACTCGGGTTGGGTTGGTTCGGAGGGGAATAGTCGCAGTTCTCACCCCGCTTCGAGGCAGGAGGACGACTACCGCGTCATCCTGCACTGTGACGAAAGCACGCCTAAATTTAGCATGAAGATGCCGTTGGAGTCGTACAGCACGGATGAAGACCACGCAATTGGGGCGTGGGTTCTCCTAGAGGTAGACCCAAAGGAAGGGAGCAGGAGGCGCAAAAGGGTGACTACCCCCGATGTTCAACTCACGGATCTTGCAACATAAGGACAGGGTAGTTTTCGTTGTTGGCACGTCACCGTGCGGGTGAGGCACCATGCGGTGTTTATGAATTTGTTAAGTTTCAGCCCTCACTCATGAGGGGGGTACAGGATCTTGTAGCGATAGCGAGACGTTGCCGCTGGATACATTTCGCTTCTAGGGAGTGGCCTTACGTGCAGCCGTCGGTAGTGAGAATCGGGGTTGAGTACGGGGGTCGAGGAAAGCAGTGCCAATCATCTGTATATTTGGAACGTTGTGTAGTATGCAAGCAGAGAAATAAGAAATTGCCGATTTAAGAAGTTCAGCAGGATTTGGCTGCACGAGCAAAAAAGAAACTTGGAATATGAAACTGAACGACATGCGCTGAATATATCCCACAATAAGAATTCGAGGCTGGACCTGAAATACGCGTTTCTTAACTGCGGGCGCCAACTTGTACGGTGAGATACATGATGGGGGGGAGATTTTTAAATTGGTTTGTTGCATGTACACAAGAATCCACGATCGATCCGAAACCGGTACTTTTTGGTTTAATACCGATCACATAATAAACAAACGCACAAGGGGTGGGAAGTGGAAGGGTCATCATGCATGGTGTAATACACTGTACATGACAGTACCACCTTTGACAGCAGTACATGTACAGAATTCGAACGCACCCGTTCAGTACGAGAGAGGCTCCTTCGTCTTCTTGTAGTCTACCTCGCTCGATGGTGTGGTAACCAACCATCGACTACATGCGGGTTCAGTATGAGGGATCTATGTTGAGCACCTGGTCCCACGGCCGTCATATGGACGTTGTTGAGTCTGAGTTTGATCTATTTTCACTTTCCTTGTGGTATGAGACGGACGTGGTGGTGGGTTCTGAACACAAACTATTCATCATAATGCCCACATGGTGATCGATGGTGGCGATGAAACATTTTACTCGATTTTTTCACCACATGTGCACTCCAAGGACGAAGATGTATCGGGTCAAAAAGCTCATTGAAAAGGAACCTCCTAGCAGGTAATAGGTTCATGCCGGCCCACGTACCTACACAAAAAAGAGTACTGCTGTAGTCCTCTGTGATCACAAAACATAGAGCACCCCGACCTCAGCCGTCACGCCACAGCAGTACACGCAAATTTTTTTTCAAAGAAATAATTCGGCTCATCACAGGTTAGCTATTTGTTTGTTACAGGTAAGTAAACAAATCCTTCAGATAATGGGTATGTTGCACACCCTGGACAATATGATATTTAATATTGCTCCAATCAATACATACTAAAAATTGGAATCGATATTTATTGATGGGTTCAAATACAACGGGAGAATATCTTCCACTACATATTGCTGCTACCAAGATATATATATGTATGTAACATATAGTCTAATACGTATAGTATCAATTGACATCGTTTGGTTCAATCTATTCGGAGAAATTCGATCAACATATATTGGTTCAAGCAAAATGTGAGTGGAAATGCTATCAATTGATATCGCATGGCTCAATGCAGACGGACAGTATCGATCGATACGTGTGCCAGGCAATCGATACGTCCGTTCGATTGCTTTGGTTCGTCCCCCATGGTGTTTGCCATCGGGGTTGGGTTTTCGTCGCTTGGCAACGACGTTGTA